GCGTTTCCTCAGCCGTCTGCCCCGCCGCCCGCGGTGCCCCCTGCCTCGGGGGCCCGGGCCGCTGCGGGCCGTCTGTCCTGGGGCTCCCGCCTGCGGGTTTTTTGCCGTGGGCGCCGTCGTTCGGGAAAGGGGCGCGCTGACTTGTTAAACGCTTGTTGAATTCGGGCTTTGGGCGGGTCTGAGAGGTGCCCCCGCGTCAGCGTCGCTGCCTGCTGCGAAGCCCTTTTTAGCTCCAGACCCCCGAAGAGTTCATTTGATTCTCGCGAGCCTGACCTAATGTATCTCTTCAGCTTCTGCCGTTGATGGCGGGAGTGAAGCTGGCCTTAAAATCGCTCTCAGGTATTGCTAATTTAAAAGTTTCGAGTGTTTGGCCAGAAGGTAGCTAGAAAAATGCGTGACCGCGGAAGCCAAAACAGTACCATCTGAAGGCAGACCGGTTTTAAAAGCGGTGCTAGTGAGTGACCGAGCGGTGCAGTGGAGCATCAGGTTGATGTGGCTGAAATGCAATATGGGGCTTCGGCACCGCTTGGAGCGTGCAAAGTGTTATGTTATCCGGCTTAGTCCCACAGTTGTCTCTGCGGAATCTTAGGAGGGTTGGCTTGTCCTCTAGGTGAGAAGGAATGGCTAGATTTTTCACTTGGGTGTTTCTTGTATTCCCTGTCTTTTTTCAACTGTGCCATTGGGATTTGAGGTCTACGAATTAACCAGCAGCAGCAGAAAAAATGTCTCTGTATACAAGTTAAGCTTTACAATATTGCTAGAATTTGTGGGAATAATAAAGCTGTTCAGTTGTTTGAAATCAAACCTAACCAGAATGAAGTGTTGGTCCCGTTAGGCTTCTCTGGTTTTATGGAGGTTGCTTTGCTCTTTGAAAACTACCTTAAAGAGTTACTTCATGGTATTTCTTGGTATGTTTTTTTCATTATTGAATAGACTTCCTCTGTGTTCTTTTCCAGACCTACTGTGTATTTTTTTTCTTAATAATTCTATTAGTTTAATCCTTTTATATAATAATTAATCAGACACTGATTTTTTTTTTCCACTAAGTATTTTGTTGCTTTAACTGTTGAAGTAGTTGGAGGATGTTCATATCCTTCTGTTCCATTTTTATTGTAATGCAGATGTTGAAATAAATATGAGTGCTTCAAGTAGTGGCTTAGAACTCGAGTTTTCGTTGCATGGTGCTCAATAAAAGGGTGAGGGGAAACTACTTTAGAGTTTCTTATTTCAGCAATATATGATGAAAAAATGATGATTTAAAAAAAAAAACAGCAAACAAACAAAAAAACCCCAACAATTTTAATGTCTTGCCTGTTACAGTTAGAGCAGCACAAAAATTTACAAACTAGCAGCTGTATTTACAAGTTTGTCTTTGTTCTTGTGAATAATTCCTCTGAAATAGGTAATTTAATTTAAATATGCAATTAGAATGATTTATATTTAATGTAAATATAAGATTTCTAGATAAGTGTTTGCAAGGGTTGGGCTTTTGAGGCTAACATGTAGTGAGGTACTCCAAAGTTGTGAATAATAGGAGCCACTCTTTTGTTATAATTTGCAGAGGGAGGAGGACAGGAATAATTGCTTATATGGAAGAACTACATTTGTGTTATCCTAGGAATCGCAAGATAAATATTTAAGGTGTTCTTTCAGACTAGATAGACTTTTCCTCACTCTTCTGTCAGCCTTAATTAAAAGATTAATTGCTAAAAAATGGATTGAAATTACTGCCTGTGGGCAGTTTTTCATTTGTCACTTTCTATGTTACTTTTTTATTCATAAGAGAGTTAAGGAGATAAATTGATAAAATGATCTTGCCTTCCTTTTAAAAGCTATCCCAGAAGGAGCAAGTGATGTCACTTTGGTCTGTTTTATTTCTTAGCCTTTCTTGGTGCAATAGTAGAAGTTTATCAGTTTTCCACAGTTCTTCCACAGAATTTTCGTATTTGATTTATATGAAAAATGCAGTTTAATTTTAAAGTTTATATATATATATTTCTCCTATTATATTCTTTTTGTTGTTAGTAATTTTTCCAGCATTAGAAACTGTGTTTGCAGAACAGCACTGGCTTCTTTATTAGTAGTGAAATGACAAGTAGAAGATAAAGTAGTTATGTTGTTGGGATATGTTGATCTCTGTGTCTGAGGATGCTACTGTAATGAGCACAGAGATTTGCATCATATATGCTCAGAAGGTGTTAGACTATAACTTAGGTAATCACAACGCACCTTAGGCAAACGAGTCTCATTAAAGTTATTCATCTGTATTTGTGGAACCGTATGCTTAAGGTAATTTGTGGTCAGTGTTGGTTTTGCCCTGGTTTCAGTGGGAATTCTGATAAAGCATACATCAAACCCATTTGTTAGTAGAGTGATTTTTTAATGCAACTTCACTTGTGATACCTTGGTCACTTTCCATAAATAATATTTTAGACTTAATACAATAATTGGTCTCTTAAGACTGTTGGTCACCAAAGCTTTTACCAAGGCTGGGTGATGAAGGGGGGGTTGTGACTTTTAATTTTTACCCTAATAATTTCTGGCTGGATGAATCATTAAGAAATCACATTACGTGTTTCCTAATGTTAAGAGCACTAAAAAAACCACTGTTGGGGGGTAACTTTAAGTTTAATCTGTCACTGAAGTATCTGAGCAGTATATCTTTTGAGGAAAGATACTAGGGCTGAAATGCTGATTCAGTTGAACTTTTACACAGTGATATCAGAATTACTCTATACACCCTGGGGACTCTCTCACATCCTGGTTCCATTCCAGATCCGGAGGTTAAGAACACGCTCATGTGAATACAATGAATGACAAACCAGTTCCAGTATAATGGAAGCATTGTTTGCATTTAGTTAGAGGTATCCTCCTGAGGAAGTTCAGTAGGTGTTTTGTGTCTGATTTGTTCAGTCAATGGTGCTAAGGATCTGCTGCTTTTCTTGGGTCTTCTGAGTTAAAAAAGTAGCAAGTATTTGTTCTAAAGAAAAGAGTTGTTGCAAGCCATGATTTAAATGGAGAACAACTCTGGAATCAGAATCTTTAGTGTCAGTAGACAGAGTTTCCATTGGATTAAGTGGACATATGAAGTCTACATTAGTCTAGCATATGGGAGAAATAATACTTTAGCCACAGTCTTCAGCATAAGTCGTTTGCCATATTGGCAACAGCCCACTTTTGGCATGTATAAGCAGTCTTGGGGCACAGTACAATCTCAGCTGATTAACTGTGGTTACTGCAGTACTGCCCTGTGTGTAAATTCCACAGGCCAGCCTCCAGTCTTCTAGAATTACTTTGACAAGTAGCAAATATTTTCTGATTGAGATCATATCTGTAGTGTTGCTGGGCTGTTTATAGTTATAAATTATATAAACTCCTGTTTTAATTCTTTCTGACAAGTGGATTGGGAAGCAAGTATGAAATTCTGTAGTTATTATCATATGCTGGAATAGGGCACAATCTGCTGTTCCTGGGCAGAACAGGCTATTTATACCTCACTTTTGGAGGTACACATTCTTCTAAATTTTTAATATAAAATAATATATTTCACACACACACATAGAATGAATTGTAGTATCTAGCTTTGGACTTTAGCTTTTCTGAAAAGGTGGGAAAACTGGAGTTGGAACAGATCAGTTTAATAGTTTCTCATAGAAATGGAAGTGTGGTTGAATATTGGGTCATCAGCACTTCTTGCAAAAAAAGCCTGTTGAGGCATCACAGCAGTTTCTCTGGGCTGTGAACGTGAACTTTCTAAGTAGAGGTGAAAAAGTGGCTCCTTCCGTGCTCACAGCTGTAAGAGAGGCGAAGAATGAAGTATTGAGTTTTTCCTGTGTGTAAGACAGCCCAAGCCTTCTGCCAATCCCTAGACCTCTTCCCTAGGCCTCTTGACTTTGTCCTGGCTTGCAGGTTAAAATTAAACTTAATGTCCAGATAATCTCACCTGCCAGGGAACAGATGAGCTATTCCAAATTTGAGTGACTACTTACATGCTGATTATGTAAATACATGAGGTTGTTGTTCCTTTAGCTGGCAGAAATATGGTCATTTATTCAGGATCTTTATTGAAGAAACAAACTACCTTTTTATGGGATGTGATCCGTACACCCTTCCTGCCATCTCCTCTAAATTGGTAGTGTTGTTCACCCTTGTCTAAGAATCTGTTATTTCCCTCTATTTTGAGGAAAACTAGAGTCTCAGGGTGAATGCACTTGGCTGTAGCAGCCTTAGCAGAAAACTGTGGGGTAGGGGTTTTTTTTATGCCCTACAAAGAGGAGTAGTATTCCAAGAATGGTCATGCTGTTTATCGGACTGTCTTGCTGTGCCTGTGTTTACTACTCTACAAGTATAGTCTATATAACATTGTATGCAGTATGCATTCAACATTGACATTGCATTGCTGGAACATGTCCAGAGTAGAGCCACAAAGCTGGTGAGGCGTCTGGAGTACAAGCCCTGCGAGGAGCGGTTGAGGGAACTGGGGTTGTTCAGCCTGCAGAAGAGGAGGCTGAGGAGAGACCTGGTCGCCATCTACAACTGCCTGACAGGAGGCTGTAGCAAGGTGGAGGTCAGCCTATTCTCCCTGGTAACAGGTGATAGGACGAGGGGAAATGGTGTGAAGTTGCGCCAGGGGAGGTTTAGGTTAACATTAGAAAAAATTTCTTCACAGAATGGGTTGTCAGGCTCTGGAATGGGCTGCCCAGGGAAGTGGTTGAGTCCCCATCCCTGGAGGTATTTAAAAGAAGGGTAGATGAAGTGCTTAGGGACATGGTTTAGTGGTGGGATGGCAGTGCTAGGTTAATGGTTGGACTTGATGATCTTAAAGGTATTTTCTAACCTAGATGATTCTATGATTCTATACCACAGGGAAGAGACCATTCGCACATCCAAAATAGGGATCGTTGATCTGTGATCCATATTCAACAGTTTTACAGCAGCGCGCTTGAAGCTTTTCTGAAAAAAAAATCTATACAGGCATGAAAACTATGGTTGTATGCAAGTTAGAGGATAAACTTTGAAATATGATCTAAAGATCACCAAGTATTATAGTTAGCAGTAAGGTTTTATTGTTGGATTACCCAGGTATTTCTGAAATTACATGGGACTGTGGACGTCAGAAATCATATTGGTTTGTTCTAATTTGTAAACTTGGATTTAGCAGTTGAAGCTGGTGCATGAAACTTTAAGTCATGGTGTCCTGGCAGGAACTGCGCTTGAGACCTGTAGATAGATGTGGGATGGAAAAGCTGTTTAAGTTTAGATGAAACGTCAGATGCCTTAATGCAAGGAAAGTAGTGTAAATGCTTGTATTAGGTGTGCTGGTTTCCAGCATGGCTTTTGGCAGATTTCTTTGCTCCTCCTACCTCTGAGAAAAAGTATTGTCACAACAAAGGATTTTTTTCCTCGCACCCTTCTCTCCGTTCTAAATTAAGATGACACAATGCCTGCTTTTCAGGACAACTGTTATCTTTACCTTGCTTGTTTTAGGTGTATGTGTGTTTACTTTTTTTCTCCCCCCTGCCTCGTTAACCAATGCTTTGAATTTGTAGTATAGATTATACTGAATTGCCAAATATCTGTGTTAGAGCATTTGGTTTGGGGTGCTTTTGTTAAAGCATGGAATAAAAAGTCATATCGCTAATATAATCCTACTTCATACGTGCAATATGGGAAACCTTAGCTAATAATTTCTTTGAAGGGTTTGGAAACATTTATGTCAACCAGTACGTGGAGCAAGGAAGAGTTTATGGCTGGATTTTAGTGCCCTGAAGGTCCACAGTGTTTGCAAAGCCAGCAGAAGCATCTTGTTTTGCCTTCTGAGTTTTGACCTTCACACACCTTTCATACTGCTGATACTGCTTGCAGGAGCCTATAACTCATGATTGCAATGCATATTCTCTGTATTTAGGAAACACTGTAAGGATTTTTGGCTGTAGAGATCTGCATAGCCTTAGTGACCTGCAAACACTGCAACATATTTTAATTGTTCTTTATAACACATGTATTTGTCAACGGGATGAATGCTTCCCCTAATGGCTTAAGGTGAAGGACTTCCTTTTCTCCAAAGAAAATCGAAAACTCATGGTTGTTCTTTCCCTGGGTAATCATATTTTAGTTTTAATATCTGGCAGGCCTTTAGAGTTATCACTCTTCTTTAATAACATGCTCATTCTGAAGTAGCTAGTAGTATCTAATAAGCTTTTATATAGAAATTTGCATATGTATTTAAATCTATGTTTTGTTACATGTTTCCATGAAAATTGTGTATTATTTTCTAGCGAGGTTAAGTTTACAGTTTCCATGAGTTTTTTGGTTTTTTATATAGGATTATAACTAGAAACTGATACCATTCTCTCTTCCTGTTTCAGACTAGAAGATGAATAATCTTTCCTTTAGTGAACTGTGTTGCCTGTTCTGTTGTCCACCGTGCCCAGGGAAAATTGCCTCCAAACTGGCATTCTTACCTCCTGATCCCACGTACACACTGATGTGTGATGAGAGTGGTAGTCGCTGGACTTTACATCTCTCAGAGCGAGCAGACTGGCAATATTCTTCCAGAGAAAAAGATGCCATTGAGTGCTTCATGACTAGAACAAGTAAAGGTAACAGGATTGCCTGTATGTTTGTGCGTTGCTCGCCTAACGCCAAGTATACTTTGCTCTTCTCACACGGAAATGCTGTTGACCTAGGTCAGATGAGCAGCTTTTACATAGGACTGGGTTCACGGATTAATTGCAACATATTCTCATATGATTATTCTGGATATGGTGCAAGTTCTGGGAAGCCAACAGAGAAGAATCTGTATGCTGACATTGATGCTGCTTGGGTGGCTCTTAGGACAAGGTAAGACATTAGCTGCCATTTTTCTTTTACAGCACGCTTTTCAAATGGTTGGACTTAATCTGCATTGGTGGTTTAAACAGAAATGCTGTATTTTAGTACTAATGGATTCATATCCAAGATGACTGGTGGTGCCTTATGCTAAAGGTATTGTTAGTATTGGCAGGATCAGTATACAGTACTGATATACTAGACAAATTGAAATGCAGTGAAATTTAATAAGGTACATTTCAGTCTTGAATGATTAGAAGATAATCCTTATTGTCACAGTTTGGGATCTTTAGTTGGACATCTCAGATGATAGGAAAAACCTATAATAATTGATTCCCCAATAACTGAGCCACCGGTGTGATGTGGGTGAGAGAAAATGCAGGCTGTTTTTTCAGATAATTCCATCACCTACACTTTTTGTAGGGAGGGGCAATGGAAAATCTGTTAGAAGAGAACCTGGTGAGACTCTGGATTTCTCTATGATGTTCAGACCACCTTTGTTTCAGGATTCAGACTAGCAGCTACAGCATTTCCAAAGATAGTTTTCTGTATAAAACAAAAAAGTGTTTTTAGCTTATCGAAATACGATGTATGCGAGAGATTGTATTTGACCTATGTAAATACATTATAGTGGGAACAAAAACCAGGAATTTGAATTGGTGGTGTTAGCTTAAATAGATTAAAACTGGACAAGGAAAAAAATGCAGATTGGAAGGATGTTGTTTCAGCAGCTTCTGTGTTCTAAGTCTCTGGTTTTAGGGAGATGAAATAGTAAGGTGAAGGTCTCTGGAGGCATTCTGTGATACAGGTAAGAATTCCAGGGAACAACTAAGTCCAGCATCGAATACCCACTTCTTAAATTTGAAAGTATTTTTCGCTGTGGTTTGTTCCATTTAGAGCAATATTCTTCCTGTGTTACAAGTAGCCAAACTGCAAAAAGATTATTTTTTAAAATACTATGTGATCATAAGAATAGATGTTCACCAAGAAAACTCCCATGTTGTTGTGTATTTTGCACCAAAAAGCTGTGAAACCTGAATTTAATGTAGAGCAGCATGTTAGGGTTTGATCATTGCAACTTGAGCATACTGTTTAATAATGTAGTATCAGGGATCACACTTAATGTAAGGGCATGTAAATGTTAAATCCTGGTAATTTTTGCAGTGAATTTAGAAGTCGATCAATGCAATATTAACTATTTTGCTATTACTTTGGAGCAGGTTTTCCCTTTTCAGTGCATGCTGTCATGCATTTCTTTTACATTATAACAAAGGTGTGTACTTTTTAAAGAAGCATATTTTATTTATATATTAAAGTAGGGAGAACGCGTGTTATCATAAACCTCATACAACCACAAGGGACAGTTATTCATCCTCATATACTCAAAAACATACGTACTGTGTTGTTAGATTAGGTTTTGGCATTTCTTTTGATTACAGTGGAAAGTTGAGGTATAACTAGACATCTGTTCTGTAAGCCAAGAGCTGCAACACGTGCACTGGTGACTGTGGTTTGTAGTTGATAGGTGGTCTGGAAGATAGCCACTTGGTGAAATACTCAGTAACATTTTTCACAAACCATATGGTGAAATGCAATTGTTTGTTTATGTCAGTTTACAGGCTCTGTTTTATGAACTGATTTGTAATTATTGTCTCTTCCCTCCCCAACAAATTTCTGATTGAAAACCTAAAAGGAAACATCATTGGGACTTGAATTCTCTCCTCCATTCATGAACAATCCATAGTGTACCTTCCTCAATCAAATAAGATTGCTCATTATAAATTCCCATCAGAACATGCCCCTTGCTGAACAGACATTGTCGGGGGGGGGAACTCTAAATACATACTCCATCTATCTGCTTTTCTCTCTTTCATTCAGGAATGGCCTCACCTCAGTCCCATTGGCTGGCTGCATTTATTTTTTCATGTCAAAACCTCCTTTAGAATTATGTAATTACAGTTTGTAGAGTGTATAGAGCTTGTTTTGGTTTGCTCAGCTTGTGGATTTCACAAATATGAACTGAATTTTTTCTGTTACTTAAAAAGTTGTTGGTATTACTAGTTTCCACTGTGGTGCTTTCAGCAACTTTCCAGTTGGCTGTCCTTGTATCTGAATGCTGAAAGCAGCAGGGAGAAGTTCAGCATATGACTTTGGATATACTGGCTTACACAGTTTGCTTACCAGTCCATGGTATTCTCTTGAGCCCTGAGACAGTGCTCAGCAGTGTTTAAATACTTGATGAATATCTGAACCAGAAGGGAGCCTTTGAGTATTTGCTCAAATTTGATTCGCTTTTCTAACATAGCCTGTTCTGTCAGTGTTACACTGGCACCATCTTTAATGTTTTTATAATGTAAATGTTCTGCAAAACCAAATTTAATTCAGTGGATTGTTTGCAGGAAAGATGTAAATGTAGCTGTAACGCCTTTGAAATTAATGTTGATGGGATGAGAGAAGAAAGGGATCCTAGACTTTTAAACTGTGCCTCACAGATTGTGAGGGGACAGAGGAAAGAAAGGAGAAATTACCTTTGTCAGAGATTGATCACAGCCACCCACAGCTCCTTACATTCTCTGTTCTGAGAAGCGGGATCATAGAACCCAGCATTAAAAGGTGTTTCTGGAATAACTGATGTGCTGATGTGGACTTCATTCTATAGGCAGCACAGCTGCTTGTGGTGGAGATGTGTTAGTGTGTTAAGTTTTATATGTTGGCAGGATAATCCAGATGGTCATCTGTAAATTGGCCCAGCTTTCCAGTGGGGACTGGACACCTAGGGTGAAATATTCTAGAATTATTATTCAGGGTGATGGTGTGCTTGGTCCAACACCACTTTCGCAGCAGTGGTTGCTGTAAGGGTAATGCGAATATTGTCATTCATGTAAATGAATACAGCCAGCTAAATTGGCGGCAGATCAGAAGAGATAAACAGGAGATGCAGATTCTGAATTGTGTTCCCTATGCTTTACCTGCTTTCAGTATTTTAATAGGAAGTAGTACCTGTCCATGTGAATGCTGATGGTAGAAGGTGGCCAGGTGATTCACTGCCATCATGTTTGGGAAAGTTGCACATTATTGCATATTCATGTGGATGAGACTACATAAAAGCTGCAAGTGAGGACATTCTTTTTCTGACTGTCATAGCTACAAAGTGTTGAAATGCCAGGAGACGTTTTGGGATACGCCTATTTCCTGCTGCCCTGGTCTCTGAAGGCCTTTGATGACACCCTAGCAAGGGTGGAAAGGTTTTACCAGCCCCAGGCAAATGCAGGGCAAGTGACGCTCATTCAGAAACCTGAAGACTTGCTGGAGTTGCCTCATGACCAGATCTACCTTTAGGAAGCCAAACAGCCTTTTCATAGTTGCTTATCGTGGGCTGTATAATAATTGAAAAGCTGAAGGGCAAATATCACTGTGAGACTGATGTGTCAAAGTGGACAGAATATCCATAACTTGAATAGCCAAATATAGGAATAATATCAAATCTGTTTGGATGTTGGCTGAAAGTGTTCTTTTGAGAATTCACAAATTACGTATATTTTTTTTTCATTCAAAAGTAGGGACGGGGGTTTTTTTTGAGGCACCTTAACTTTTAATATTTGGAGGGAAATTGAGCTTTTATTTAAATTGATAGGGAAAAGTAGCCCAATTTATCATGAAGAGTAATCTTGCCAATAAAACAAATGTACCAGTGGCATTGTAAGGCTTAGAAAAGGCAAACCATCAAGAGAGAGGCAAAGGAGGTGCAGTTTGTTGATGACTACATGCATATTCAATGGGCTTGCCTCTCATAAACCATAGTTCCCTTTTTCTTCTAGCAATGTTACATGTTCTGTACAGTAGAAGGGGAATATGTATCTGATTTGAGGAAGAGCTGTACACTCATGAATTTTATTCATGGCCTGGAATGTTGATAGTTAAAGGTGTGGGGGATGTTCATGCTCTTCATGTTTTCAGCTGTAATTTTGTATGTTATGTGCATGATGACAAAAGGTTCTGAAATGCGCATTGATAATTCCCTCAGGATATTCACCCTTCTTCCTTGTGCTCCAAGCACTGCTGTCACTTGGTTAAATGCATGTGTTACAATACAGTAGCCTCTCTAGAGTATCCATTGTGCCTTTTCATTAGTGTGAGCCTGAGCGGCTATGAAACTGTATCCTTCTAAGGTTGATTTTACAGATATTTTATTTTATGATTGTAAAGTGAGCAAGTCTTCTAGAATAATAACAGTAGTTCAGAAGTGAAAAGATAAATTGCTTTTTGTCTCCTTTAGGTGTATCAAGGGCAAAGTGGCAGGTGCTCTAAGAGCCTGCAAGTATAGTATGGTAATTTCAGATGGTATCGTGTTGTTAAAGGTAACTGAAATTTAAAAAATGCAAAACCAAAAAACACTTGTTACAGCCAGACATGCATTTTGTAGCTTGCGTATTGCACATCATGGTAAGGTGATGTATATCCAATGAAATTATATATGAGGGGCGGAAAAGAGGTAGACTGCTACTAAGGTAAGCATTTAGTAAAGTGCAGAAAAGGTCGTGTTACAGAGACAGATACAAAGGAAATGGTGAAAGAGTTTCTGCCACAGCATATTGTGAAGTTTGTCACAAAAGGGGAAAAAAACATATTTCATTGCTCTTTAGCAGTTTTTTTCCTGACAGAAGCTGAACAGGTCAGGCAGGAGTGTTCAGGGCTGCCTCTCTTACAAGAGACCATTTATCAGCATAGGTAGGCTCACAGAAGAGGATTCTGGCTTCATGAGTTGTCGTGTGTTAGCTTTGGACCCTGATTCTAGGGAGTGGTCTGGTGGTACAGTTACGAATTATTGGCTTGCGCCTTCTTTTAACCCACCAGTGACAAGTCATTTCTTGCCTGTCCCGGAAGACAGCCAGCACAAAGGAGCAGAAAAGTAGTTGCTCACCTACTCCCACAAGAGATTAATTTAGTTTCCTAAACTAGTTGGTGAAGTTCAGTGAAGGGCAACGTGTGGTTGAAGATGCAAATAGGAAAGTGGTTCTCTTCCGTTTGGTGGTAGCTTAGCTTCGTAGTGATACTAACCTGTACCTTGAGTGTGATGATAGGCAGAAGTTCGTGAGTGCTCAGACACTCTGTGTAGATGCTAGCAAGCTTATGTCAATGGCGTACGTTTAGTTGTGTGTAAATACTGCTCTGTAAAAACTGTTCCATGTGCTTTCCAGGTAGCCCTTAGGTGCACGAACATAAAGGATGAATCTGGTGTTGAAAGGAATTGAAATCACAGTTGCTGTGGAAAAGAGAAAAATGTTGTGGGCAGTCTTTAAAGTGTGGCAAATAGCTATGTAAATATTATGCCAGGTTCAGTCCAGGATAACTTGTCCCTGAGGAAGAATGCTTTCTCTGAGAAGGTACATCTGTGCACAGCTGCTTTAAAGATTTTGTTCCAAGGTCCTTTCTGGTGATTAAGGCTAAAAAAAAACCCAAACATAAAAAACCCACCATCAGCAACAAACTGAAGGCCTGTCTATTCTGACACAAGTTATCTCAGATTACTTGAGTAGACAATAGTGCTTACATTACTCCTGTGATCAACATAATGAGCTTTCAAAGATGTCAACAGTTGTTACAGAATGTCTTTGAGCTCATGTCACCAGAACAACTACTTACAGCATATGGTTCTGTAACTGTGTGTCCACTTCCTCAGGATGGCCTGTAATTCTAAGGTACTGATTGAGAACAGTATTGCTGCCACTTTTTCTCTTCATCTGGTGCTTCCTCATTTGGGAGACCAGGTGTGTAGTTAACTAATAATTTTCTACCAAACTTCTTGGAGTTTACCTGAAGTTTACAGGACTGTCAAAAGGAGGAGTAGACAAGTTTTATGACTAGGGGACTTACCAACATTTATCTTTTCAAGAATTTTTCCATTTTAGTTTGGAAAGTGATGCTTTTGGAAGAGCAGAACTGAGGGACAGTTGGGCTCTTCCACTGAAGTTTTCAGAAGCATATTTAAGAGAAGAGGGAAGACTGGAGACAGACACAGCAGATACTGTTCTCTGTTTTCCAAGCTTCTTGTTTTGGTTTTGGTTTTTGATTTGTTTTCCAAGCCAGAATTACTTTGAACCACCACTTCTGGTGATTGGCCTCACCATTTTGGTTTCCAGACTGTGAAACAAATAGTTTCTAGTGGGTGCTGTGAAGGCGATCTGCCTGGCTGTGATGGAGAAAGGATTACTTTAATCCAAATAGAGTACATGCTTTTCTTGGATTACTTTTCGTAGCTAATATTTAGCTATCTTTAGGCTGAAGGATTTTGATCCAAAAATAGGGGGAAGAATAAGTGAGAAAGAGGAGAATATATGCTCCAAAATAATACTTTTAAGTTTTGCTTTAAATTTCTTTGCAGTGGCCTGAATCTTGTAAAACTCAATACTTGAGGAAATGTGAGTGTGATAATTTGCAAGGGTTTTTGTTTGAGAACTGTGTTATGTCATAACATGCTATGCAGACTCCGTGCCATGTTAATGATGCAAAGTGTCAGGTATTAATGTGAGTTTTGTTCAGATTATACGGAACGGATAGCAGGTCATGCTGTACTTTCAGAATGGAAAAATGTGATTTGAATTATTTTGAATTGGGAGACTGACTGTAAAATGATAGGTGCTAGGCTGTTTTCAGGTGTTTCAGAGAGATACAGAAATAGTGAAGACTTTACATTTGTTTTGGTTTCAAAACTGTAATTTATTGTATTTTTGTGTGTTGGAATTTTGAGAAAATACTTTTTAATCAGAATGTTTGATTTATCTTTTTTTTTAATTGTCTGAGAACTGTTGTGAGGTGGCGGGCTTGCCTTGCCAGGTTGATGATTGAGTCTTAGTGTTTTAGAACGCTTTGATTTGATTATGATCCTAGAAACTCTTTCTAGGAATTAAGTAGTCATGATAGAATTTCACTCTAGCAGAACGCTGAATAAATAGATGAGTAGTTAATAGGTAATCTTAGCTGTGAACAGTGTATTTTAGCTCCAATTTAGAAAGCTTACTGGGGGGCTTAATGAGTTCTGTTAGTGTAGTGATACTTAAATTTTTAGTAATATTTAAATGTGACTTTGTTTTTCTTGAAATCATCCTAGATATTTTTTTTAATTAACTGTCTATTACCTACTGATGTAACACACAGGACATGCTTTCTGGCTTATTGAAAAATACTTGTGGAATTTTGGGTTTTCTTGGTTGGTAATTTGAATGTCGTGGTACATGTGAAACATCTTTCTTCCTAATGTTCCTGATTTTGAGGTTTTTAGACTTTACTAATTTTAGTGTTTGGTGACCTATACAGTTACCATACAGTTATTTGACCATATTTAGAAGATACTGAACAGTTTTTCATTACCTCTGTTTCCCTGGCTTTACTGGAAGTATGCAGAATGTACTAATTTGAAAACGCCTTTGTGGGTATGGGTGTTGTTCTCTACCTTTGACGGATAAGATGCATGCATTTATTGTAGAAGAGGTAATGAAGTTGCACTTCAGCTGAAAAGGGCTGTTTGTCGGTCCTTCAACTGATTATAGTCAGTTAGCAAACATGGTGGTGTTAGGCTAGTCTGCTCTTAAGTTGGACAGCTGAACAAGCTCTGGTAACACATGAGAACAGTGCTTGATTTTCTTCTGTTTGGTTTGGTGGTTTGGTTTTTTGTTTTTTTGTTGGGTTTTTTTTTTTGGTAATGCAGTGCATTCTCTCTTCCTATTTAAGGTATTTCCTTTCCTAGAGAAGTTAGCAGAGGTACCTAGCTAGGTACAGTTTTGCAATCTGAACCTGTACTAAGAGTAATTTGTTAGTATAGATCAGTGTATCAGCAGCTCACTTTTGCTGTGGGCACTGTTCTTGCCAGCGTAATGGTCTGCTTAGAGGCTTTTCCAGCATTACTTGGGAACCGACTGCTCATTGTATTCACATTAATGCAGAAAAATATTTAGATCTGACTTGTGTAACTGTTAACTAGCTGTTTCATGACTCTTTTGTTTACCTCAGTTAATTACAGAAAAAATGGGTGTTTTCATCTTGCTAGGAGGAAGCCTTTGACTTTAATTTTGTAGTGCTTATTGGGCTGTCTTAATTGTGGGTTAGGTTGGGTATTCCTTTTGCTAGCTTGCATGTCTAATCAACTGTGATAAGAAAGAAGCATCTTGGGTATTACATAGAATGCATAATATTCTGACCAAGTATGGGCATGCTTTAGGTCCCACTAAATTTGCTGAGCAATGCTACCGGCTTGCAGTTTTGATCAGGTATCAGAAGAGTGAAGCTGACAAAATTTTTGCAGATTTGACTGTGCTCCATTTGATGATGACCGTAAAGCTAGTAAGGTTCTAATCAGTTTTCTGTTGTAGGTCCACTAGAGTTACCAGTAAAGACTTTCAACTAGTATACAAGTCACAATTGCATTCACAAATCCATATTTAAAAAAATAAACCCATATTTCAGTATCACTCGGGCATAACGCAAAAAAAAAAAATACTGCAAATACAAAGTAAATAATTTCCCCTTTAAGTCAGGAATGTTATAGAATACACTTCCTTGTGCTTCTACCAGCTCCTGTTTCAGTGTTATCTTCTTCAGGAAATTTTTTTCTCCAGAAATGTCTTTTTTTGCCTTGCTGTGTAATTGCGGTTTTGTCTGTTTCACTTTATATGCCACTTCTGTTAACATTTTTAATTTTCTAGGTATGGAATCCGCCCTGAAAATGTGATTATATATGGCCAGAGTATAGGAACAGTACCATCTGTGGATCTTGCTGCTAGGTATGAAAGCGCTGCTGTAATTCTTCATTCTCCACTGACCTCAGGAATGCGAGTAGCTTTTCCTGATACGAAGAAGACCTATTGCTTTGATGCATTCCCGAAGTAAGTTGTAGAACTTCTTATTCTGCATGCATTTTTCTTTATTACGGAAGTTTTAGACTAGGGAAACAAGTAATATGGCAAATCCTTTGAAATTTCTTTCAAAGGTTTTTAAAAAAAAAAAGAGAGAGAGAGAGAAAATCAGAGTTAATACCAACAATGAGGAACATTTGATTTGAAGGATTTTACAGAACTTTGCAAATATTCTAGGTTTTTCATACCTCTATAATCAGATCACTGGGTATCTGTTAAAGAAGCAATTAGTTTTCCTATATGTAACCCCTAATATCGCTAATTCTAGCAAGCAGTTCTAGTCCAGTGAATTGTTAACCTAGGCAACTGTAAACAAAGTCTTTTACATATGTTTCTGTAAGTAGCAAAACTGGAAAACTAAGTAGACCTTAACTGAAAAAAATTCCTGTCACGTGTTTCAGAAATATGCCACTAGTTGACCATTCACAAACTGGTACACTTGTCTCAAAGAATTACTTGTATTTTGAGCATCTGACTTCAAAGACTTTTTCTTCTCCCCATAGACGGTCAAACTTTAAGTGCTATTTCAATTCTGACAAGTACTTTTTACTGAAAAACTCTGAAGTAATATTTTCTTCAGTACAGTGACTTTTGATTTTTTTGAAGTGAACATGGCAATGAATACCACTTTTAGACAGATTGTTCTGTTATACAATCCTAATAGTTTACAGCAGTGTTTTTCCTGTGTGCAGCTTTACATACACTACTGTAGTGGCTTCCAGGGTATTGATAAGATCTAATTTTCTAATGATTTAAACACCTTCAGAATTAAATAGTTAAAACTACGATGTGTAATTAAAAAGTGAAATTAACAGTCTGGTCCTTCAAAAAGATTTAATAAAGCTCACTGTGTTCATAGATATAATCTTTTTCTTACAGCATTGACAAAATTTCTAAAATAACATCTCCTGTGTTAATAATCCATGGGACTGAAGATGAAGTAATTGACTTTTCACATGGCCTAGCATTATTTGAGCGTTGCCAGAGACCTGTAGAACCGCTGTGGGTAGAAGGAGCGGGACATAATGATGTGGAACTCTATGGACAGTACCTTGAAAGATTAAAACAGTTTGTGTCACAGGAACTGGTGAACTTGTAACTTTCTTTGTATATTTACATGCTTTTTCATATCACTGCAGAACTGCACACCGTGATAAATAAGTAACAAAACCTGAAGGTTGTGTTTTCAAATCATCTTGGTTGCCTTCATTAAATGTACAGGTAATGATTTGTCAACATAATTAATGAAGGGTTTAATGCCAGTATTATAAACTGGAATTACATGATCACGTAGTCAAGCTTGGCAGTTTATATTACTTTATGTAAGATTTTTTTCCTCCTTAGATGTACAAAAAGAATTCACAAGGAGTACTGTATGAAATTTTAATTATATAAAATCAAATGCTGTAAAAGTGTTGCCAAATGCTTTAGCATATCAAATACAAGTTTATAAATATTTTTTAGACATCTCAAAATGTACTGTGACTTACTCTGTTGCACAGGTGTAATTTAAAAAACAGACTTCTAAGCAGGTGTTCTGTAAAAATACAATAGCCATGAAATTTGAGCAAATACTAATGTATGTAATAAGAATAGACAGTCACTGGAAATGACCCATGCCCTGTTACAGGGGGAGGGGGTCAAAATAGATCTCTCTTCCCATATTTTTCATATCTTTTTGTGCCTAGTTTTACTTTAGTTGTTTTGTTCTTGTGTTGTCCCTTACCTTTCAGGTTAAATACAGCCACTAATCTTCTCAGCAAACCTAATCTTGCCAAAATAATGCCACAAGTTATCATTGTTGTAACATAAATATCATTCACATGATTGCTACTGATGCCACTAAGTACCTCACTGAAACAGTAAGACTTTTAGAATGTAGAAGGCTTTGTGGACAATGTAGTTTCAAACATTGATTGCGTAGAGACGCAATATTTCATTCGAAAAAACGTGGAAGTTTATCCAACTTTTGTAATAAACAATTTGCAAGTTTGCAGTTGCCTGATCAGACTTACTTTTGGATGTTTAGTGTAAAAGCTTACTGGGTTTTGAGTATTGTATGGAAATTTTACTAATCACATCTGGATGGGGTGGGGGGAGGGGCAAGAAGAGAATGTTGACATTTTTCTATTAACTCATAGTAAAATAAACTTTATAAGTTGCCTTTCCCTTGAATGCATTTTGCTTGGAAAAAAAAAAACTATGAAAAATAAACTTAATGATATGTAGCCTATTTGTAAACAAAGTAATACTCCAACAATACACACTGTGCTTCTAATTTTAAGGCCTTACGTAGTTTAATTGTTCTGCTTGTTTTTTGTGATTGAGACTATTGTATACTTAAATGTAGCTTCAAGTATTGTGAAAACTTTGGTTAAGATGTGTTGTTTAACAGTAAACCATATTCCACACACTTGTTGTTCTTCCTTTTTTTTATTTTAAAGAAATCACAACAGTTGCTTGCCATATCAAAGTAATGAGCAGCTCCCTATGTACCCTAGGAAATCAGAACTAAAGCAGTAACCCGTTGTTATGAATTGTCAGCACACTTTTTTATTTCTTTATCAGCATCTGTTCTGATTGCCTTCCCACCCCTTCACCTCATCTTACTTCTTTCTGCCATTCAGCATACAGGTTTTCTGCTGCAGAGCTACTTATAAACATGCTTCTGTAATGATTTCAGTTTTAGCTTCCAAATCATCAGTGACGTCTTGTCTTTTGCTCTCTGGTTTGTTAATTGAATAGAAAGAAATTGGTATTTGTTCTCAAGCAACTGGGTTCTTGGTTGTCTTTTTGATCAAGTATGCTTTAATGTGTTCTGAGCTTCAAATTAGTATTGAGGCACAACACTATTAGACTTAAAGGGTTTCATCCTAATAAAAGATTTTGCAATTGGAAGTGTGCTTAAATAGATTGGTAACTCAGCTTTATTACATTGTACTGTATACATAGTTTGATTTCATTTTTTACTACCTTCCAGCAACTATCTCTGATTTAGATGGAAATCGTTACCATTAAGCGCTTAAGTGCTTTCTTTGTGATGAATGAAATCTGTTTTGAGAGTCCTCTTCAGAAATTCACAAATAAAGAATGTAGAACTGCAATAACTGATACAGATTGGCTGATAGTACTGCAAATTGCAGGCAAATGATCAAGTGTAATCAGAATAACTATCCGATTGTGCTAGGGAATATTATGGCACCCTGTAATTGAAAAGACACAAAAGGTGGCATAGCAGTTCCGATGCTTTTGTTTCTGTGTTTTGTTGAAGCAGAACAAAAGGCCTGACTAAACAGTGTTTTGTCTTCAGTAGATGCAGCTGTGCAGATTACACTGGTGAGTAAAAGTTCTGGTCTCTTTGGGACCACTTATGCATGGTTAATTATTGCCAGTTTGTTCTGACTGGTCTGAAAAATCTAGGTGTAAAATACGAGTTGTTTACTGAAGGAATTAAAATTGAGTTTAGGCAAAGCCTAGCTTGTATTGAGAATCGTATTACGGCAACAGACTTGTTACCAACATAAAGCAACTCTGAGCTATTGCAGCTAGGAGGAAAACAATTGACATAGTGGCTGTCTTGTCCTTAAACCATCATTTTGGTGATATTGACAATGGGCTGTTGTTTTATATTATAAATGCAATTGTCTCATGATAAATAAGAGTGGATTCAGCATTCATTAACAAGACAATGTCTGTATTTTAGGGAAAAAGAAAAGCATTTTGTGAACCACGTGGTCTCGTTCCTGTTTTTTTTTTTTTTTAAGTGACAAATATTTGACAGTAAACTGTCTTTTCCAGAACTGAAAACCTTGGCAAATCAACTTTTAAAAACAATTTATGTAAATACGAGATTACCTTCTAAAGGTGGGGGTCTTTGTGAGACAGCAAAACATGTCCCAGTTCCCAGCTACACATTAAAAAAAATTAAAAACCTCCCCTCTTTTTACTGTCTGCTTGTGACAGCAAAGAATTCTAGTGTATGTTCAGTCAGTTACTCTTATTGACTGATTTCAAACTTGTTTTCCTTTTCAAGCTTTTTTTAGTGGGGGAAAAAAGTTGCATGTATACTTTGAGCTCTTTTAATTGGATGACACTGTGCAGCAGAGCTAGCTACTTGGTACCTCTCACTTATGGCATATTCCAGGTCCTACAGATACAAACTTTCCTTGCTATACAGTAGGCATTGCTAATCTATTAAAGACCAAAATAAAGGAAGTAGTGTTAGAACCAGAGGAAAAAGCATCCCATGTAAGTAGGGGGCTGATAGCTTGAAAGCAGCTTTACAGAAAAGGAGTTGGGGACCATGGTGGACAACAAGCTGGCTGTGAGCCAGCAACGCACCCTTACAGCAAAAACCACCAACAGTATCCTGGGCTGCATTAGGCAGAGGCTCGCCAGCAGGTCAAGGTAGCTGATTCTTCCCCTGTGCTCAGCACTGAGTGTAGGCATGTCTGGAGCACTGGGTCCAGTGTAAGGATGATGTGGATGTACTGGAGCAAGTCCAGTGCAGGGCCACAGCTATGGCTGAAGGACTGGAGCATCTGTCACAGGAGGAGAGGCTGAGAGAGGCTGAAAAAGCCAGGGCTGTTCAGCCTGGAGAGGAAAAGGTTCAGGAGGATCTTAACTGAGTGTGTGAATATCGGAGGGAGGGAGTGGAGATAGCTAGACTTTCCCCAGGACCGCCCACTGAGAGCACAAGAGGTAATGAGCACACTCAAAAACAGGAAATCCGATCTGAATGCCAGAAAACAACTTTTATTTTGTGAGAGTGATCAAATGCGGGAACCAACTGTGGAGGTCCCATCTTTACTGATACTTAGAACCCAGCTGAGCACAGCCCTGGGGAACCTGCTGTAACTGGCCCTGCTTGGAGCACCGGAGTTGGACTAGATGATCTCAAGGTGTCCATTTCAACCTCAGACGTTCTGTGTTTTGTGAAGTATGGCATGCAAATCCTTTCCATGGCAGGCACTACACGTATTTGTGTGCCATTGCCATACACCAGCTTAGAAGCAGAGACTGTTGAGTTACAAGAATTATCTTCGTTTAGTACTCCCTACTTTTGATGGTTTACTTTTCAGCAACAGAAAGCAGCAAAAAGACTGTTAGGCAAAAAGCCCTTAATCTCTTAGTCCTGAGGCCATTGCTGTTTGATGTGCTGTTTCTGACACTGACTCTTAATATAAAAATCTGTTTCACAGGGTCATCAGAGATCACATTGCTACCCTACAACAAAAGGAAGATTGAAAAGCTAGATGTAAAGAATAGGCATGTTCCTGAAAAGAGAAAAAGTGCATGAAAGATGTCTTGAATATTCTCCGAGGTGGGAACGTTGCATTCACAACTACTCTTATCCTATGTGCTTTGCAAGCAGCAGAGCAGACTGAGCAGAGATAGGCTTGTTTTAATAGAAGTAGTTAATAAAGCTTGTTCCACTTCACTTGAACAGTGTTTGTAAACCAAAACCACGAAGCTGTTTATATTCTCATTGGGGGAAAAAAAGTTTTTCATGAGCTACTAACTGTGCATCAGGCTTGATCCCCTTCACTTAAACAGTTCAGATAACATTTGACTCTTTCCGATCATGAAAAGTTAGTGTGAAAACCCATTGAACTTAAGTAGCACTAGGTTGGAATTGCCGCATGAAATAGCCTTAAAACTCTTAACATATGGAACTTCTTAACCAATTTGCATTGAAAAAAATATTAATTGTAAAACAGCCATAGAAAGAAACATTTCCCTGTGAAGAAATTCCATTGTATGATAATAAATTCTACACTATACTACCTTCTTCCTTTTTTTAATTTTTTTTTAATTTCTGAGGTAAGACCTCTTGTTCTTTCTGTAAAAGGAAGTAAAATTCTAGTGTATTGGAGACCCCATCCATGGAAACATTCTATTCTATTCTATATTTCTGGTAAAATGGCAAGGAAAATGCTTTAAGAAAGAGAATAGTGTAAAAGAAACGTTCTTGAAAACTGACTACTTTGCGAGCAAGAAAGGGCCCAACCTTAAAAAAAGGATCTCAGCATCAAATTTTCCCTAGAGGTATTAGTAAGGTGTCTTAGTGTAGTAATCTATTTCAAAATAATCCGAAAACCTCAAAAGGGTTTTGTTGCCTAGAAGAGGTTTTGTGGTTGGTACATGAGGCATCATACAAATGGTTGTAATTTTAATGTTTAATTTTCAAATTTTTCTTTGCTTACAGAGAGCAGATAGTTTTCTAACCTTCAGGACTGAAGAGAAGACATGGAAGAAAGATTATTGAAGATAAAATAGTCAATTTACCTTCTTACTATGCTAGAAGCTATGTGCCTCTCAATTAGGTAGTTGTGCCCTGCCTCCTCCTAGAGCATAGGGTATACCCATGTGAATACAATCAGGCTGTCATATTGGGACAATTTTTTCTTCCAAAACCACAAAGCCACGAACATTTTTGCCTGAAGTTTTCTTCTGGAGTCAGGTAAATAGTGGATTTATTGTATTGTTCTAAACCACAATTGTACCAAAACTCAAAATGAATCTTAAGCTAGGACAGCATTTTAAGTCATTTGATCGGTAACTCATCTAGTACCTTGAAGACCTGATGGCTGAAAAAGACCTGATGGCTGGAAAGCTTGCCCAGCAGAAAAGGATCTGGGGGTGCTGGTCGACAGCCAGCTGAATCTGAGCCAGCAGTGTGCCCAGGTGGCCAGGAAGGCCAATGGCATCCTGGCTTGTATCAGAAATAGTGTGGCCAGTAGGAGTAGGGAAGTGATCATGCCCCTGTACTCGGTGCTGGTGAGGCCACACCTCGAATACTGTGTTCTGTTTTGGGCCCTTCACTACAGGAAAGACGTTGCGTTGATGGAACGTGTCCAGAGGAGAGCAACAAAGATGGTGTGGGATCTGGAGCACAAGTCTTATGAAGAGCAGCTGAGGGAACTGGGGTTGTTTAGCCTAGAGACGAGGAGGCTGAGGGGAGACCTTATCGCCCTCTACAACTACCTGAAAGGAGGCTGTAGGGAGGTGGGGGTCGGCCTCTTCTCCCTGGTAATGGGTGATAGGATGAGCGAAAATGGTGTGAAGTTGTGCCAGGGGAGGTTTAGGTTGGACATTAGGAAAAATTTCTTCACAGAATGGGTCGTCAGGCACTGGACCGGGCTGCCCAGGGAAGTGGTCGAGTCCCCGTCCCTGGAGGCATTTAAAAGACGGGTTAGACGAGGTGCTTAGGGACATGGTTTATTGGTGGGATGGCAGGGTTAGGTCAACGGTTGGACTTGGTGATCTTAAAGGTCTTTTCCAACCTAAACGATTCTATAATTCTATGATTCTAAATAGATACTTCACTACTTTATTTTATGTTTGACCAACTATTTTGTAGCATGCTGTACAGAGAAGGACAAAGTATTGCATGGTTTACATACCAGAATTCTGTTTGTATTGTAGTATAATTTACAGTTAGTGACAAGCTTGAATAAAATCCTCTACCTGTCAAGAGGTTTTGTGGCCACTCGAGTGGTGTAACAGAGACCATATGCCTAGAGCCAGAACAGGAGGATAGACGAAGAGTACAGTCTTGAAAAACTGTTACGAGTTCCTGTTCTCCTGTAGTCGTAGAAGCCAGCACTCTCTTAGTTTGCCCGTCATAGCAGGTGTGTAACAGACAGCCTGCCATTCTGTCATTTGTGACTCCTAAATAAAACGAATTGTAGTCATTCTAAAAGTTAGGATGATACGTAGGCTGTGTTTTATGTTTTTCTACAGTCACAAAGGCCAGAGGGTTCTGTTTTAAAGAAAAGTTGAGATTCACTTGTCAGTAGCTAGAGCTCTTCACAGACATGAGATATGATAAGGCGTGCTAAAACCATGAGGAGTGACAAATCTGAAAACACAGTCCTGGAGGCACCTCCAGAATAATGCAGATAAGGTAAATGTTAAATCTAAGCCATGATGGTTTCAGACTGTTGTTACAATGCGGTACTGTCGTGCTAGATTTTTGCTTAGTAACGGTAAGGAGATGCATTTTACATAAGGCATTGCTCATGAATAACAAAATCATATTGTATTTGCCCGTGACACTCTGATGTGTGGCATTTATGCTTGGTTTCTACAGAAATGTGGATAAACAGGTTTGTTACATGGATGTCTGGGGAATGGCTACCCTAAAAAACAATCACACATGAACAAGCATGTTCATGTGTGAACGAAGTATTTTGACTCTTTTCTGATTATTGTTTCATCAGTGTTCAACAGCTCTTCTGGGCTGAGTTGTCTCTCTTTTACTGTGTGCAGTACGTGAGGACATGGCCACCCATGAGACTGTATGTGTTTAATAGTAATTTTGTTGTTCTTTTATTTAAACTCTATCACTTGTTCTGAATTGTAATTAGTACGGTATGACTTTGGTGAACAATTGGATTTTATAAGTAACCAGGAATCAGTAAGGTATAGGTATGTGTTTAAGTATTTGATTAATATTTTTAAATATACATATTCCAATATATCACTGTCAGTGCACAGAAGACTGTTAGATACATAGCTGTTGTGTAATTGTTTAGTTCCATTGGAGTCAGTCGTGTGTTCATTTATGTTAGCCAAGGATTTGATTCTTATTCGTGGTGAATGATTTAACTGGCTGCAGTGCTTTTCTGTGCTTCCCTTTTGTGGT